AGGACTCCAAAAAAGTTTAAGACAGTTGTTGGTTCTATTCCATATTTTTTTATTTTTTTGAGCTAATATAAAGCATATATCTAATCAAAAATGATTTGTCAATTATTTAGCAATGGTGTGCTACTAGTAAGAAGAGGTTTGGTGGTGGCGCTTCTAGTAGTGGATTTTTTAAGAAGAGGAGTAAGTTTGAGCTTGAAGACTCTAGGAGAGGTGGATCAACCATGTCAGTTGCTAAAGATGGCGATGTTTCTTATTATGAAGGCTTTTTGAGTGGGCATCAATATGTTAGAGTTGTGGTAGTAGACACTTGGGTAAGTGTTATTGGATGACAGGTCAGTGCTTTTGATGTGGGCATATTAGGCACAAGGAGGCTAAGTGTCTATAGGTAGGACCTAACCAATGTTGTAAGCCCAAGTTTGAGGGTTCTTTTTAATAGGCAAGGGCACTAAGGATTATTTCATCACGTGTGTTTATTGAGGGATCTTCTAGCAGAGCTAATGGTTCTTTCATATGGAAGTTGGTGGTTTAGTTTCTCCAATTCTAGTTCATGCGCGTCAATATTATTTGACTCAGCATGAGGCTAGAGATGCTCCAAATGTCGTCATAGGTGTAATACCCAAGAAAGTCGTGTGAAGTTGCACTTATTCTAACTCGATCTAATAAGAGTAATGTAATAAAAATTTTGTATCTCTATCTCTTGTTGTGTTTGTCAGTATTTTCTATGCATGTGAATATTTGAATCTCATTTTAATGAAGTCCAAGTGGTTTGTGTATGAATAGGAAATTTAAAATTTTCCCATGGAAGCACCGCACTGGTAGGGTTGCTAGTGCTGTGTCATTAAGCTATCTATCTTTTTGAGAATTTTGGTGAATGTTACGACATTGGGTTGTGCATTATGGCATCGTGCTCTTTGTTCAGAGAGATGCGACATTGCATGGTTGAGCATCATGGTGCTAGGTCAAAATTTAACAAAAAAATATCATTTTTCACTTTGCTAAAATTTATCCCCCCTAAGTGAGGTAGTCGGGTAGACAGAGGGGGGAGGGATAGAGTTTTTAAGAGATAAAGGGAGATTTGGGTGGCTTTGGTCCATTTTTTGCTATCGGCTCAATTCAAGAAGTAATCCAAGTTGAGATAGATTATATTCTGTCTGTTTTAGTTTTCAGAAATAGAGAAAATTTATATTTTCTTATTAAAATTATAATTGTGTAGCATAGAAATGGGATAATATCATATATATGTTAAACATTCATCATGTAACTTTATGTATGTTTATATACAATCTTTCCAATTATTTTAATATTTTTTTGGAAAATGTTTATCGGGTTAATCAAAATGTGAGTTATTTTTGACCGATTAGATATTAATTATGATCTCAAAAAAATAATATTGTAAAATATTTAAAGCTTAAAAATATAGTTTTGAACAATCCCTAGTAATATGATGAAATTTTGAAAATCCTAAAATTTTGTTCATTCGTTCAAATTGTTACTTACCAATAAAGCTCTCTGTAAATTTCTGTAAATTGATTTTTTTTTATTAATTTTATAACAATGCAATTATATATGTATTTATAAGTTTGACAAGTGTGATTCTTAGGAGATTTGATGTTGAAGGAAGTTTTATTATGCTTAATGCAATGGGAGTTATAAAGGCCTAAATTTTTTAATATATGAGATTTTAAGCATAAGGATCTATTTTTTGATATACTAGCATAGGAAGTCATAAGCGTCTAAACTCTTATATCTATTTCTGATGAGAGGTATAATGGCCTGAAAAAAAAATTTGTTACTTTATATTTTGATATATGATGTATTTATTTTTTTATAGTTCAATTTCAAGACAGTTAAATTTCAGTTATCTATAAGCATTTTTGTGTTATGTACAATTGATGCAAATAACTACTTTTAAATTCATTTACATGTATGAGCCATCTCTTAGATAATCTCAAATAATTGCATTTAATTAAGAGCCATCTCTTAGATAATCTCAAAAAAATTAATTGCAATAATTTAAATTAAAATAAACTTAATTTATCTATTTAAATGTATTAAGTTTTTTTAATTTCTCCTATGTTAATTGCATTTAAGTAAGAGTTGGCTATTAGAAACTCCCAAAAATTTTATTTACATTTATTCTAATTAGAATTTAAATAATATTAATTTCATTTAATCAATTTTGAAACACAGATTTCAATTACATGTATGTTTTTATTCAAATACATCTAATTTATTAATTTATTTGCATTACATATTTTTAAGTTCATTTACGCTGATTGCATTTAAGTAAGATAAATCCCAAAGATTTTAATTGCATTTATATTCATTTGAATTTAGACAATTTTAATTGCATTTAATCAATTTTGAAATGTTTTTTTTTTTTTTCTTGATATCCTTTCTTAAGCACAAAAATTAATCATCTTCATTGCAGTTTAACAAAATATTGGATACAAATTCCTTCGTGGTTTTGCTAAAAAATAGTTATATTTTCTCCTCTTCCATAGTATTCCTTTCTTATATGAGAAAAAATTTTTATCATAAATTCCTTTCTCATTTGCTCCTTATGCTCTTATATGAGATAATTTTTCCATACAATTAAGTCCTAATCCTTATATAATCGCTTCCTCTTCACAATTAAGTCCTAACTTTCTTGAGAAGAAAAACATGCAATTTATAAATTATGAAAATTTAATGCATATGTTTCTATGGGGGTTAAAAATTTACACATAATTCTTTCTTTGATTCGATTCTATACCTTTCTGGAGATTCAACTAATTCAATAGAGTAGAAAAAATTTATTCATCAAATATCGATAATTTATATAGTAAAAAATCATTTGATTTCATTCTCAATTACCTTTTTTATATATCTATTAAATAATTTTTTTCTTCTATTTTTTATGAAATCTAAAGCTTGAACTTATAATAACACAAATTTTTTATCAGCTTTGTGTTAGAAATTTCTTTTATTTTTATAGTAGAGTTGTTATATTTGTATTATTAGTTTTTTCTTACGTATCATTAAAGTGAGTCACTTATGTTATTTTTTAATATTTTATTTATAGTTGATAATTTAATTATTTTAACCTCAAATGAGAGGTAATTTATATTCAAATGTGAAATCTTACAATTTTTTCATCATAAAATTTTACATAGTTAAATAAGTTTCAAATTAATTTTATATTTTATGATCATCAAACAATTAGTATGTATTATCTTTTATCTTATTCTATTTCATGTATATATAGCTTTTATATATATAAGATACTAATTTAATACACTAATTTATTATTAATGTATAGATTTACTATTTATGTACGGATGTAATGTTACTCTACTAATTTACTGCTATGGTACTATATTTACTATTACTTAGTGTGTAATTTCTTTTGAACATGTTATATAAGAAGATAATACTAATATTGGTATAATTGTGCATTATGTTTACACTCTTGCATGATTACTGTATAGTATTATATTGTATTGCTTTAAATTTTGATAGTTTTTCTCAATACTTTTGCTTTACTAGTTTATATAATTTCTTAATATTTGGCCAGTGTTGCTACGATGTACAATTTAAAAATAATTATTTTCTGCTTTACTTTTTTAACATTTATATTATATAATTTTATTAAGTTTATTATTTCAGTATGTGTTTTATTATTTTTACACATATTTATAATCATATTGACAGCTACTATTATGAATCAAATGATTAAGTGCATATTGTTTCCTTTATGTGTTTTGAGTTTTGTTGCGGGCTAGAATATACGCGGCGATATAGTTATAATTCTACGTCTTAGTGTTGAACGGATATCCAGCTCACACACAGAGAACACAATATTTTTTACGTGGAAAACCTATAAAGGGAAAAAACCACGGGGCCTAGCTAGCCCAGTTGAAAATGATTTCACTAAAATTTGAAGAAAGTACATTAATGGTTTGATTCATCCTCGACCAGATTACAAATATCAAATGAGAGTTTTACAAAAGTCCAACGTCACTCCACTGTCAGGTGGTGGTCCGACAGCACTCCGGTGTCAGGCGGTGGATCTGCAGTGGCACTTCAGTGTGAGGGGGTACTTCAGCTTTGGATGGCACTTCGGCCTCGGCGTCCCTTAGTGGTACGACAGTGGAGCGACAAAACTACGGCGGTGGTGCGGCAGCACTCCGACGTCCCTTGGTGGTCCGATGGTGGTGTGGCAGAACTACTGCGGTGGTGCGGCAGTACTCCGGCGGTGATCGAGGAAGAGCTAGGCGGCTGGAGCTTTCTTCCTTCTCTTCCTTCTTCTCTCTTGGCTCTTCCCCTTTTCAACAGGAAAAGTGTTTCTATTTATAGAATTCTTGAGTTGCATGGCTTGTAAATAAGTGAAAGATCAGAGGTAAATTGAGTTTAAAGTCTAAACTCTACAACCATGCTTCTATTCCAACTGGATAAATATAAAAAAAAAAGTATATAATTATTCAAAAATCACCATCCTAATAGGATTTGATGAAATTATTAAATTTTAAAAATTAATATTAAAGAACCTACTCTTAATAAAAATAATTTTAAAATTAGAAAAAAATTGTTTGAAAATCCAACGAGCATCAACCAAAATAACTAATGGAAATACATTTTTATATTTTATCTCAATTATAAACAATGAGATGCCAATATTAGCATCACACTTTTTAAAAACACAATCTTTTATTTAAAAAATAAAAAAATTTGATTAAAAATAAACATAAAAAACAAAGATAAGAAAGAATATATACAAAATATTCTTTTTTAATATTAAAAATAAAGCTTAATTAGAGATATTTTACTATAGAGATGAAAAAAAAAATTATTGAAGTGCCCTAGCTATATTTAACTTTATATTATATTTATTTTATACAAAGTAAAAAAAAAATACCTATATTTCATTTTAAATAAATATAATAAAATATGAACCCAAGATTATTATAATCCTCCAAAATTATATAAACAGACTACCAATTTAATTAAAAAGATCACTGTAATCACAGAACCAAACACCATGAAATAGTCAGACAAGACGACCTACAATTTCTGTAACACTTGGACAAGAAAACAAACAACGTTAGCAATAATAGTTCCAAGTTGATGGACTACATCAGAAGGTTACTCATATACAAATCCCGAGATTTCTAAACGGAAAGAACAAAGAATGAGAAATTGCACAATCTAGTTGTCGGCATCAGCACCGGCCTTTGAAGATCCGGACTTCTTTGGAAGGAGAAGGCTGTGAATGTTGGGCATCACACCGCCATTAGCAATGGTTACAGAACCAAGGAGCTTTGAAAGTTCCTCATCGTTTCTCACAGCAAGCTGAATGTGCCTTGGAACTATCCTCGTTTTCTTGTTGTCCCGGGCAGCGTTCCCGGCAAGCTCCAGAACCTAAGAATCGAAAGGAAGATCAATTCAATTCAATTCAATTCAAATAAAAAAATTATCTCACGTACATTGAATATATTCAGAAAATCCAAAAATCAGTCTAGAGGACATAACAAACGTAAAGGAAATATATCTAATCACATTAACTTGACACGACAGAAGCAATTCAAGAAAAATAAAGAAATTTAAAAATCCTCTGCATGCCACTGCCTCAACTACATCAATAAAGAACAAAAATACAGCAGTTCCTGGCCAGAAATTCAATGCATTGAACAAAACAACACGAGTTCAGGACGAAATGAAACAATTCCGATTCATACCTCAGCAGCAAGATATTCCAACACAGCGGCCATGTAAACCGGCGCACCAGCACCAACGCGCTCGGAATACTTGCCAGTCTTGAGGAATCGAGCAATCCTACCAACAGGAAACTGAAGCCCTGCCTTGCTGCTCCTTGAAGTAACCTTCTTCGCTGCCGCCGCACCTATCACTTTCCCTCTTCCGGCCATCGGTAAGAAATCTAGGTTTAGGAATTCAATAGAAGGAACGCTCGACCTATTTCACCGGAGGCAAGTCTCCACCGCTCGTATATTTATAGGTGAGGATGTGTGAGGTGGATGAACGAAAATGCAGCGCACACGGATCGCTATCACGGCCCGCTCGTTTTGTTAGCAATGGACAGTTTGATGAAAAGTAAAACAACCTTGCCATGAAGGGCGGAGGTTTTTTTCAAACTTATTTTCTTTTTAAAGTATTAGATCCTGACCGTTCAAAATGAGTTTAAAAGGTAGGATGACTTTGGCCATCCAATTACCATAGGTAATTTTTGAAAGCAAATCTTAAATTAGATGAATTTTAGAAGAAAATTTGTTTTGTTTGTTATTGCTATTTAAGATAGAATTCCATCTCTTAATTTTTGAAAAAAGATTTGAAATATTCTTTAATAAAAAAATATATTTTTTTAATGGATTTGCATTTGTGAATTTAAATTTTAATATATTCAAATTTTCTTACAAAATCAAGATGATCGAAGAGAAATTTATTTAAAAAACTAGTTGCTACCGTCGAAGGCTAAATATAACTTTGTTAAAAAAGGCCTAACAACTCTAAAGAGAGTTTGGGACCTTAGACCTTCTAAACTTTTTGTTAACCTCAATTTCAATTTCATTATTTAAATTGAATTATTAATCTATAAGTTTTATTTTATTTTATTTAAATTAATTATGTATATTTTAATTTTTATTTATTATATTTATTTAATTATATTTGAAATTAGGTTTTTAATGAATTATTTAAATTAATTAATTATTAGCATGATTTGGATTATTTAGTTTTCATATCAAATTAATTCCAAACCTTAAAAAATTGATAACATTGATTAGGGATGACCATTGTATGAATATTTAAAAGTTTAAGATTAATTTGATGTATATTTTATTTTTAATGAATTTACTTAACTAATATTTGATTAAGAGTTAATTAATTATCAATTAAAATTTAATCAAATTTGGATCTGGATTTTATTTTTTCAATGATTGTAGAATTGATTTAGAGTTGATTTAAGGTAATTTTTTATTTTTTATGATTTTTTCTTAATTTATTGCGATTTTTGGAAAATCAACCCTTAAGATTTTTTTATTAATATTATTCTATGGTCAATTAATGTCAAATCAATGTTAGTTTAATTCTTAGTGTGTATAATGTGTCTAAATTCACTAGTTAGAAGTTTTATTCCTAATGGATGTGTGTATGAATTTTAAATTTTTTTCTAAATTTACTATACACAAACCTTAGTTATTTTTCCTAGGTTTTACTAAGGTTTAAATGGGTTTGAAAATCAATGTGTCTAATTCTTGCATACATGTGAACAAGCCATATAAATTTGGTGTCCTAATGCTTTATGGATTGGATGCACTAAATTTCTAAAGGTTTGGGTAAATTCATGACCCAATACTTTAGAAATTTAATAACCAAATATGGAAGTCTCCCCAAGGCTTGGAAAAATACAGTAGGAAGAGAAGCTACTCTAATTCATGGCCTCCAAAGTTTGAATCAATTTGACCACTAGCCAAGGAATAATTAGGAAAAATCCTTAAATGAACAAACACTATTTGTTGCCTGAATAATGGTTAAATCCATTTGAAAATATTAAATAAAGCTAGACTACATGTTGATTCAAAAGAGCCTAAAAAACTTTAAATTTTGTTGATAAACAAATTTACCATAAATTTTCGAAGTTCTATTGAATTTTTGGATTTAAATAATCCATTTAAATGTATTTTCAAATGGCGGCAACGACGTGCTAAACATTGGCATGATTACACATTGGCGCAATTATGCCCAATGATTGGATGGCAGCACGATTTCGAGTGCACGACCACTTATCCACATCAGCAATTAACCTTGGCCGCTCATCCACGCGTGGTATGGACATATAATCCTGATCTAGACAATGGAAAGCATAGTGGTAAGGTAGTGATCCGTGGTTTGAAAATAGAATTGAACAATAAGATTTAAATAGTTGATCATACAAAGATCAACGATTCAAATAACACACACTATATGCATTAGGGCTCTTCTTCGATGGTGATGAAGAACATTTAAAACTTGCAATCAACTTAACCAAATGACTTGAGATTTTGGACAAAGGTAAAGACAATGCAAATAATGAGTGGGGAATGATTATCTTGATTATAAGTGCTTTACATAAAGTTTTTTTTTTTTTTTTTTTTTTTTGTTGAAATCCACCGAAGGGCCTAAGTGTTGATATCAAAAAAGGAGTACAATGCCCTTAAAGGGACCTCCAGCTCGCTACTGCTCGAAAGAGCTATAAGAAAAGTAAAAAAAAAAGAATCTAAGAGTCGGATATCCCCACTAAGCACAATTATAAAGTAACCTAATAACAATCTAAAAACCCAAAAGGAAAGGGAATAATTGTACTCGTTTAGCTCTGCCTTTCCAACCATAGTCGGGCCCTGCACAAAACGAGAACGAGACTCCAAAAACCTGATAAATATGCATGCAAGGACACATAACAAAATATCCAAAAATAACATAAAGGAAATAATATAAAAAGTAAAAACAGTAAGCCAATCAAGCAACCACCAAAATTAGAAATAGTAATGCAATTGGATATTATGAAAAGGATATATTGAAATTAAGAGTATCCATACGCCTCCCATCATTAATACTGAAGAAAAGCCAAAAACATATAAAATGATTGTTAAAAAGCCAAAGAGCACAGCTACAACAAGACTTCCAGATATATACAACCATAACAGATAACATGATGATGCCATGAGCCAGTAAATCAAAAATGCAAATCATAAAAGATGTCATAGATGGAAACAACCCCATTATAAACTGAGTTTTCAAAAGAATGTACTCAACATATAAAACACCCTTAAACAAAGAATAGAAGATCCAGTCATTGAAACTACAGCAATCACCCAAAAGATTATTAGCCAACAACTAGAAAAACTTAGATAATAAACCATAGCTGGAGGGATCCCAATCACAAATAAACTAAAAATTCTTAACAACAAAAAAAGTTAATTATAAAGCAGAAAAGCTGAAGTGATCAGGATGAGCAAAGCTCATGAGTTTAGTATTTATAATGCCATCATGAAGAAACCTCAAACTCCACTCAAATCTAATCCCATATCAACCCGGGCTTGACCAGCATAGGAAATCAACAAATGAATAGACGAAGAAATAAACAGAATTAGAACTCATGATGAACACATAAATGAACTCCACTCCCAGTAACTCCAAGTCAAAACAAGATGAAATAATTAGATACATTAGCAACAAATCAAGCCCGAGATGCCAACATAAACAGCAAACTCCATGAGATAAAGATTAAAAAGGATGGCAACCAAGCAAACCAGAAATCTCAACTAAGGGAAAAGAGATCAACAAATAAGGTTAAATCAGCGATCGATATAATTGTTCCAATCATTGCCAAAACCTAACCAATCACAACATCGAGTCTCCATTACTCTCATGTTATTAACTTCAACAAATAAATGTTTTCACATTCATGGTTTGCATTAAATTGGTTTGAAGTAAATTTTTTCTAACAAATTAAGAAGGGATGTAAGCTAGTCTTTTCTTGCATTCTATGTACGAATAGAAAATGAAGACATTATAATTAAATATCAAGTTTTAGTCAAGTGAAAATTCTCAAAATTGGGCTTTTAAACTATTATATGGCCAGGGGTCTAAGGGGCAGTGCCCCCTGGCGGGGTTCGACCTGCGGAGGTTTTCAAAGGCAGCGCCCCCAAAATAAATTTTGGTTGTAAGAGTATGTTTGGTTCATTGATCCCTAATAAATAGTCTGGTATATCGTATGTGCGAATACATCAACATTCAAGTATTCATTGCTACGACACAATAATAATGATAAGAGCATAAATATCAACATTGTAAAATGAAGAGAACGAAAATCAAAGAACCCTAGATCAATGAAAATTAAAGAAGAAAAATCAATATCAATAGTGGCATTGAACAAGAAAATGAAGAGAATAAAAATCAAACCAACATCTGAAAAAACTTCAAGATCAGTAGATTATATGCATCTTTCAGCAACATACAAACAGTCGTCTTTTGGTCGATCATTCAGAAATTGCGAGAACCTAAAGAATCCAAGAAATCAAAAGTGGAAAGATGAAACTTTTATTGAACCATAAATAGTGGCTAATCGACATTCAAAAGATTAACGCCTATGATTAAAAGCATTTTGCTTGATGTCATGGTCGCAATTATCGATGTAGCGGCAGCGATCAATGAGAATTTGCAATGGAAAATGAAGAGAACATGCACAGGGCATTTCGCTAAGGAAGAAAATAGTAGATATGAGAAAGGCGAAAAAATAAGAAAAAGCGGGCATGATAACTTATCCCACGATGTCTCATGCCAAATCCCATGTTAATTAGCGTGAAAAGAGAATATGCCCTAATAACTATATCTTAAGGCACTTATATAAAAAGTCTCAATATATATGTCCTTAAACATTAATTTTTTTTGTAGTGTATTAATCATTTATTTTCTTAAGTGGCTTTCTATAAGTATTTAAGAGTCATCACCCTTTACCCATCAGTGTAATTTGGTTAATCGATTACATGCTACAACTATGATTATACCACCAATCTTTTATTAATTTAAAGGAAAGCTCGTCAGTTTACCCTCCTATACAGGGTATTATGTTTTAAGAGCTAACTCATATGAATTATATTATTAATATCTAGTCTTATTTGCTTATATGTAAATGCTACCGTTTTCTATAAAATGTAAGTCAATATGATATATGAAATGCAGTAATTCATAAAATGCAAGGAAATCTATCAAATTTGTACACTATATATTTATTTCAAAAATCATATTTTCTAATTTACCCAATAAGAATTTAATATGTTTTATTGAAAATGTTTATATTGATGACATCTATCATATACCAAAAGAAAATTTGCTAAAAATTAAGATATCATAACTTTTATATGTATTGATCAAATTTAAATTCATAAAATACAAAAAAAAAAATATTGAAATTG